ATGTAAAGCACTTCCAGCTGTCTCCTGTGTGTTATACAAATAAACCTGGGCTCAGTTTGAGATGATGAAAAAGAGGTTTTATATAGATGGTCTGAATTTGAAAACATTTAAAATTCTGTCTTTAACCTCAGTTTAATAAGATTCGGCTTTAAAGTAGACGGTCATAAATTCTCGAGCCGCCTTCTGTTTCTCCCCTCATCTGCATGCGGCCTCACCAGTATTCCCGTGTGGGAGTTGATTAGATGGGTCGCGTTGGCGTGACGAAGCTTGCTGATTGACTTGTTGTCCTTGAACCAGGAGTGCGTGGCGGGCGGAACGCTCTGCTGGTCCCGACAGCGCAGCTGGACCGCCGAGCCCGTCACCACCGAGGCAGGGACTTCGCATGTGGGAGTTTGCAGTGGCACTGGGTGACAAAGTAAGAAAGGGTGAGTCAGAACTTTGGTTTGTCCAAAAACAAAAAACAAAAATCAGTTTATGTTTGTTCCTTACCCAAGACGTTGAGGGTCACATTGGTCTCGCCCAGGCTGACCGTGTCCAGGGACGCGCTGATCTCGCAGCGGTGCTCTGGCGTCCTCCTGGGTCACTCTGTGCAGGGTCACTCTGTGCAGGGTCACTCTGTGCAGGGTCACTCTGTGCAGGGTCACTCTCTGCTGGGTCACTCTGTGCTGGGTCACTCTCTGCTGGGTCATCGTCGTCCTGACCATGGTTGCTCGGCCTTCGAAGGGACCTGGGAGGAATGTTGGAAGGTCTTGAAAGCTGAGAATGTTGCAGAAGAAAGACTTTGCAATTTTTAATTTTTTTTCCCCCACAGTAGCAAATTCAGCTGCAGTCAACTTTACTCAGAGCTGGTTTTAAGTCAAAACAAGTGAAGTGATATTGAACTGAAGGGATGTTTTCTCAGTTGTAGAGGTTCTGAAACTGAGAACAGAACGAAGGATTTGGTCAAATTTGCAGAAAAGTTGGGTATGATGAGTGGATTTGCATCAATGATACTAACTTAACTTGCCAGTTTCATAGTGTTAGCATTCAGAGCTGAAGCTCAAATAAACATGCTTCTTAATGAAGCAAGAGCCACAACTGGCTAATGAAGTGGAGGAGGTGGCAATAGGTCAAAGACAATCATTAACAGGATCTGCCTGCTGAGAGCTTGTGTTCATTACAATTCAGACTTAAAGATGGAAGGTTAAACTTCCACCACACCACTGACCTTCATCAGTAGTTGATGATTAAATCAGCTTATCTGATGTATGAGTGGGACGCAGCTGGGATTAAAACGAACCTCTGAAGCTTCCTTCAAAGTAGACGAAGGAGACATCTTTTGTCTTCTTCTTCCACTTGATGCGCGGGTTCGAGTCTCTTTCTGTGTGGAAGAGGCACAACAGCTCTGCATCTGAAAGGTGGGAGAGCGGGACCAATCAGGGGCCTCCATTTTAATGGCCTGGTCTATGCTTTACTGTCGTGCAGAAAGTGGACAGAGGTCATAAGGTTCATTATTAAAGGTTTGTGACAAGAAAACATGTTTATATTTGTTTGTGCCATTGTCACTGAAGGCCTCTACATCGGTAGAGATATTTTCTGAGCAACAGTTTCCTGAACTAAAACAAGACATGAAATTTCAACAATGTTAGACAATCTGAAACACTAAAGTGACCAAAAACTGAACTCTGACTGGCCTAACATCAGTTTGAACTCGATGGGATGACTGTTAATAGTGTTTTCCACTGGTGGTCACTGGTGAATCATGCATATTTGATTACAGGTGCAGGGCTGGAATCCTGCTGATTCTTAAAAAGTGGTGAAACTGTGATTTTACTAAAGTACAATATCATGTGTGCAGAATTATAAAACAGCAATGAGTAATTTTACCCTGGTGAGTAACAGAGGCTTTTTCCGACCATTGTTCTTTCAAATGACAAATCTAAATTTATAAATAAGCAAGAGGCCTTTATTCAGTGGATCAGTTTCCTGTTGGTCTATGACTTCCTGACCTGCCTCCACTGTTGCACCGCTATACGACCAGAGCCCAAGAGGGCTTCCCACTACGCTCGTAACTTAGTTGCAAAGTTAGTAGTTCTGTTTAGCCGCCTCAAGTTAAAGCTTGTCGGACCGAGGGGAAAGAGACCATCTAGGGAACGATGCACAAAATTAGGAGCCAGGCCGATGAGGTGCTCTACATTTCTGAAAGACGTTCACAGGCTTTAAGATCCAACTGGCAGATCAGGTTTTTGACTGTGTACACTGGAACGGCAGCCGTTATCCGCTGTTTTATTACACTCTTCCTACCTTTTGGCTCAACTTTCCCTGCTTTCTTCAGCATCGCCTCTCTGTATGCAAACAGAGAACAGAACAGAAAGAAAGGGACTGGGATCTCGCAGGTTCAAGTCCTGGGAGCAGGAAGTTGTCCTGACAACTTTATTGATATGAAGCAACAAGGTTATTCAATTTTTAAGCTTCCCTTTAGGTTTTTGATCGTCTTCAAAGACAAAAGTAGACAGCTTTCAGTTTGGTTGGCCCAGACAATAAAGTGCTGTGGGTTGAAATGGCAGTTTGGGAAATCTTCAACTACAGTCTGTGTAAAAATGTACTATAGCAAGGAGTAGAAATATTGCCAGAGGAGCGATAGATAAATTTAACCTCCTATCTCAAGCTATCCCTTTACTTTCCAGGATTTGAACCCTTGTCCTTGAATTGTAATGCCTTCACCTGTAGACCACACAATCTTACCCAATTTGAGAAACATATGTTGATGCTCAAGGCATGAATTTAAAATTTCACATGGAAGACTGACTTTATAGAAGTTGGAGGAGCAAGGTTGGCTTGTGGTTGAGTGGCTCACTGCATATAGACTGGGTTTTGGTCCTGTTGGTTTAACATGGAAGACTGACTTTGTGGTATTTGAAGGAGTTGGAGGCACAAGATTTCCAGGTGCTTGGTTGGCACAGTGGATAGAGACTGTGTTTAGGTCTCAGAGGTTTTAAGGTATGGTTTTTAAAAGTTCACATGGAAGACCGATTTAAATAGGTCTTAAACTTTTAAATACCAAACTAATAATCAATATCCACTTAATTTACAGACCAAGAATTTGAACCCGCATCTTTTGTGTCTGAGGTCTTATGCCTTAACCTGTGGACAAAACGACCTTTGAAGTTTCTCGTGTTTACACAATGGTAACTTTGAAAGAGGCTGACAAAATAGATATTCTTTCTAGGATTTGAACCCTTTTGAAAGATAAAATATAAAACATTGACCAACTTATTTGATGTGCGAAGATGGTTTTTGTGATGTCATTCAACAAAATGTAATGTCACTTGGTTTTCTCAATTGTTTACTGGGTGATGTTTTCATGATTGTGTAGTTTTGTGTCTTTATGATGTAAAGCACGATTTTGTTGTTAGTGAAATGTGACATGCAATCTTGACTGATAATTAAAACTGAAGAGCCTGTTTCCTTGAACCAAGAGTCATTAGTTCAACCTGTCAGTGAATGATCAGTGAAAGTACCCTGAAAGTCACTTGTTAGATGAAGATGAAAATACCTCAAGATATGTGCAAGGCCTGCTTGAGGCACGGTTGATATTTGTAGTAGTTTGAGCAGAAGAGTGCTTGGTTGGCTCAGTGGATAGAAACTGGGTTTTGGTTCCTGTGGTTATGAGTTCAAGACCTGCTTCAGTTTTCCTTTAAAGTTTAACAAGGAAAACTGACTTTGTGATATTTGTAGGAGTTCGAACGGCAAGCTTGGCAGGTGCTTGGGTGGCTCAGTGGGAAGGGACTGGGTTTTGGTTCCGATGAGTCTGAGTTCAAGACCTGCTGGCGGAGTGGTGTGAAACACAGTCTGTATCCAGAGTGACAGCTAGAGTTTTAAAGTTTAACATGGAAGACTGACTTTGAGGTACTTGTAGAAGTTCGAGTGATAGAAGGGCGGGTGCCCGGTTGGCACACTGCATACAGACATGGCTTGTGGTTCCGATAGGTCTGAGTTCAAGACCTGCTTGAGGAATGTGTGAAGCACATGTCAGGGAGGTTTTTTTTTAAATGGGAAGATTCAATAGGGGAGAGAGAAAAGAAAGAAAGAGAGAGAACAAGACTACAAGAGCTCTATAGGGGGGGGAGAGAAAAAAAATTAAGAGTGTGGCGAGCGTAGCTCGCTACGCTCTATTAAGAGTGTCGCGAGCGTAGCTCGCTTCGCTCGCTACGCTCCATCAAGAGTGTGGATCCCCCGCCCCTCCCCCAAAGAGCGTAGCGAGCGAAAGCGAGCTACGCTCCCAACTGTCTTAAAGCGAGCGTGGCGGCTTCGCCCGCCACGCTCGCATCGAGCGTACTTTTAGTACAGCGTACGCTCATTACGTTCGCTCTGTAGTCCTGTTTTCTCCCTCTCTCTCTCCCCCTATTGAGTCTTCCCATTTAAAAAGCCTCCCTGACATGTGCTTCACACATTCCTCAAGCAGGTCTTGAACTCAGACCCATCGGAACCACAAGCCATGTCTTTATGCAGTGCACCAACCAAGCACCGACCCTTTGATTTGCTCGAACTTCTACAAGTACTTCAAAGTCAGTCTTCCATGTTAAACTTTAAAAGTCTAGCTGTCACTCTGGATACAGACTGTGTTCCACACCACTCCACAAGCAGGTCTTGAACACAGACCCATCAGAACCGAAACCCAGTCCCTTCCCACTGAGCCAACCGATCACCTGCCAAACTTGCCATTCGAACTCCTACAAATATCACAGTCAGTTTTCCTTGTTAAACTTTTAAGAAAAACTGAATCAGGTCTTGAACTCATAACCACAGGAACCAAAACCCAGTTTCTATCCACTGAGCCAACCAAGCACTCTTCTGCTCAAACTACTACAAATATCAACCGTGCCTCAAGCAGGCCTTGCACATATCTTGAGGTATTTTCATCTTCATCTAACAAGTGTCTTTCAGGGTACTTTCACTGATCATTCACTGACAGGTTGAACTAATGACTCTTGGTTCAAGGAAACAGGCTCTTCAGTTTTAATTATCAGTCAAGATTGCATGTCACATTTCACCAACAACAAAGTTCATCGTGCTTTACATCATAAAGACACAAAACTACACAATCATGAAAACATCACCCAGTAAACAATTGAGAAAACCAAGTGACATTATATTTTGTTGAATGACATCACAAAAACCATCTTCGCACATCAAATAAGTTGGTCAATGTTTCATATATTATCTTTCAAAAGGGTTCAAATACATGTTCCATGTGAAGTTTTAAAACTTCACATGGTACTATAGTATGTCGTCAAAAAATGGAAAAAAACGACAAAAAAAATAAAAAATAGACGACATAAAATAACAAGGTCCTATGTCCTTCAGTTCACTGATCACTCACAGATTTATTATTTAATTAGTGTTTCAAGTGTTTCTCTTTACTATTCTTGTGGTGTTTTTCACTAATATTTTCTTCTCTTATTCTATCCACATGTCTCTGATCATGTAGCTGTTGGCTCTCCAGACACAGGAGGGTTTTCAGATCCACAGATTGATGGAATTCCTGACCAGAGTTCACTCATCTCAAACACACACAATGTCCTTACATATCAACTACATAACTTTACACACACACCTAAAGTATTTATGGGCACTTATGTGTCCATTCATGCACAACATTCACATGTGGAGAATGTTAGTATCTTCTGTTAAAGTCTGAAAAAGCCACTAAAACAATCCGAAACTGTAAAGAGGATAAATGAAGATTTACTGACAATTAACCAATAAAAAATCAGACGTCATTTTGAGTTGAGGTTCAACAGAATAAGAAAATGACACGCCAACAGTTGCCATTTCCATGAGTGGCACAAGGTCTTATCAAGATGTTTTTGGTCAAATTTCTAAGCAGAGGTGGTTTCTTCGCTCCTGCAGTACCTTCTCATTCCAGCAGGTGTCAGTAAGACGCCTTCACTCTCGGTTGAGGTCAAACTGTGTTAAATCTAATTTAATTAACATTAAGGCAAATAATAAACGAGTGATTATGTGTTCGGGTGTGATTTTGCTGATAAATTACCCAGAATCCATTTTTTCTACTGCTGAGAAAGACGTGTGACCGGCGTCAGGTGTGCGCATGCGTGAGCCAATATCCTGGTTTTACTCTTGACGTTTGTTGAAGGTAAGAAGACCTTTGAGTCTGTTTTACGTTTACTGTGATTTTCAGTCGTTGTGGGCTCAGCATAAACTACGGAGGCCGGGATGACTAATAAAATCGGATTAGGACCGTGACGTCATCTTTATGGCTCATTAAACCGGACAGGCTGCTGCAAGTGTTTGGTTTCGCTTCTGTCGCTGCTGCTCTTATTTTACGATTTGAGACGTTAATAAACGCATAATTAAAGATTCTCTGTAAAAACAGCAAAATTATTAATGCTTGGTTGTAACTGCATGGAGGAAATGCTGGATTATCGAGTGCAGACTTCAGTTCCGTGTTGGTTGTTTCCTGCAGTGTTATTCATTTATCAACTCAGTCCAATCTGAGTTCAGTTCTGTGTTTTTAATGCTTCCAAATATATCAGTTTACGTCCTTCTTCAGATTTTAAATATTGATGTTTGTGTGTGGAGGGCCACAAGGGACAGAATTATGTAAACATATAATGTGGAATCAAATAATGTTGAAATACTTTGGCTTAATTTCAAGACTCTAAATTCAAAGTGGATGATTTTTGTGTTTCTTAAAGCTGCAGTTGACTGTGAATAAGCTGTTTTCTTGTTGAACTAATGTTTTTCTCCACCATTAGCACATTTAGCAGTGAGTATTTGAGCTTGGTTGACAGCAGTAAGCCCCTCCTCCTGGCTCTGCTTGGTTGTGTTAATTTCTTCAGATCAATCTTTTTATTCATTATCCATCTCAGACTGTCAGGACATGGCAACAGTTTTAACAAATATGTAAAAACCATAGTTTATAAAATTTACATACTGCATCTTAAAGTTGTATTTTTTCTACATATGTCAATAATATTGACTCAATGCAGAACAAACCAGAACTATATCAATTATCCTCCTTTATTTCCCAGGTGCCTTCAGTCTTCATGCATCACATCTTTGTTTACGGCTCCCTAAAGAGGGGCCAACCCAATCACCCCTACATGATAGACAGCAATAATGGAAAGGCCGAGTTCCTCTGTCCCGCCGTCACCGTCCAGAAGTTTCCACTGGTGATCGCTACCAAGTACAACCTTGTCTTTCTCCTCAACCTTCCTGGTCAAGGCAAGAGAATTCATGGGGAAATCTACAAAGTGGACGAAAAGATGCTGAAATACCTAGACTGGTTCGAGAAAGTTCCCACCATGTACCAGCGGACTGTGGTGGAGCTGGAAGTCAAGATGGCGGACAAGGAGGAGAAGCTGTCGCCTGGAAGCATCATGGAGGCGTTTGTGTACAGCACCACCACCTACCAACCAGACTGGCCATCACTGCCCACCTACGACAACTACGACGCCAACGGAGACCACGGACTAAAATTTGTACCGAGGGAAGACAGGAAATAGTGATGTGGATGAGTGGGCTGCCTTTAAACCCACAGAAACAGGATCAAGAGTTCTAGCAAATGAGTAACGAAGAATCACTGACTGATTGTTTTCTGTTCTCTAGTGATTTCAAACCAGCTTAGGAACATCACTTGTTAAAATACCTTTATTACGATTTGATCCAAAAATTCATGCCTACTTTTTGATACTTTGTCGTTTAATGATCAGCTTTGTGGAAGACAATCAGCTGTTAGCAATATTTAAAAATGAAAATGTTAAGCCATAATAAAAGATGGGGATTGTATTGTATTAAAAATGCTTTCTCTATACTTTAACTGAGTTTTTTATTGCTTATTCTGGTGTTCAGTGTGATTTGACTGGTCCACTGGATCTTTTCGGGTTGTTTTGTGGATCCTATGAGGTATTTTGTGTTCCAGGAATATGAAAGAGATTAATGTTGCTTCCTCTGTTAAACGAGTTGCTGCTTGTTGTGGTGCTTTTGAATTCTTCAGTAAGTCTTCATCTCTTATCATACACAATAAAAGTGTTTTTTTTTTCACAAACAAAAGTAGGGCAACAGGGTTTTTTGTTTGGATTACAGAGCTAATCCATAGACAAAGAAGCACAAACCAGTGTGTAGAGAAACGACAAGACTGAAACAGGAGTCAACTCTTAAGATCTTAAAAATGCGAGGTGAAACACAAAGTTTTCACCCAGATTTTATGAATCCATTTCCAGATCCATAAACTCCCAGTAAAGCCTCAGTAGGATCAAAACCTGCAATCTCTACTAATGAGACATAATCTGTGATTTGCTTTGTTTATTTCTCATATGAACACAAACTTTTCAAAACAATTCCAGAAAGCTGGAAAAATACTGGGAAGAAGGCGATGAAGATAGAAAATCTCTGTCGGCTTTGGAAGCAGGTCTGAAGTGTTTCTTTTCAATGAAGACAAAACGAAAAAGGAAAAAAAAAAACTATTTTCACAGTGTTCTCAAAATACTGTACAAAGAGGAATTACAAAAAGAAAAGCATGGTTTCTGTGTCCTAATCTGGCATTATGATTAATCCACACATCTGGTTTATGGATCTCTGAATTTGTCGAGTTAAAAAAGTGAAAATAAGGACAATACTGCTAATATTTTTTAGTTTGGCACAGAAAAAGTAAGAACATTGAAAATAAATGGTGTGAAAGAAACTTTGAGGGCCTCTGATTGTGTTGGTGTGTAAAAAAGTGTAATTGTTAGAAGGCTGGAAGAGAAGTCTGTGGTTTTGTGTAAGGCCGAGGTGGAGATGTGAAGATGACAGAGTCATCAGTACAGATCCTTCCTGGAGCTCAGCAGGAGGCGGCTGGCGGAGCAGGTGGCGCTGCGGATCACCTCCATCCACCTGAAAACCAACAACAGGAAACACACTTAAACACACTGTCTGTGAAAGAAATCAGTTCATATTTTCACTTTCTCAAAAGCTCGCACTGACTTTTTTTTATTTTAAATTCCAAATTCAAATATCTTAGTCAATTATTATCAGAAATAAAATTAATTAAATCCTTTGGTTTTCGCAAAGGTTGATTGATGGAGAGATTGATCGTTGGCTTGATGGACAAATAAACAGATGATTAATTGTGCAAATTTTTTAAGTCTTATTGGAGCAAATTACTTCTGATCATAATTAGTATCGTGGAATTTTTCCAAATGTGGGAAACATTTCAGATCTTCTCTCCACATTTCCACCTTCTGCAGGAACCCTGTGGTTTAAATAAAACATTCACCTCTGGGTAAAACTAGATTAAATCACTGCTCTTTGATGAGTCAACACCCACCGTTCAAATGTGTACTCGCTCTCTGATCTGAAGTAGTACACGTGGGATTTAAAGTGAAGCTTGAAGACGTAATCTTTGTGGATGTTCTCGGACTCGGCCGGGACAGTGACGGAGTAGCCCAGGAGAGGGAGGCTAGCCAGAGGGTACTCATCCTGCAGGAACGCCAGATACTGTTAAAAAAATCCCAGAGCGACTCTTTGTTGCACGTTTGCACGTCTTACCTGGTGTGACTTGTAGAAAAACAGGCTGAAGTTAGTGAAGACCACCCAGAGTTTCTGCCAGCCATTGCTGTTCTTGAACTTCCTCAGCAGGTTACCTGAGAGCTGGTTCTGAAACACAAGCACAGGAAGCCCAGAGATCATTAAATCACCTCTGCTTACAATTTTGATTAGAAAATTGGACAAATTGAGTACAAAGGGAAAGCTGCTCGCCTCTATTACCATCTACTCTTTATTTTCACAAAACTCTCACCAATTTGACTTTCTAAACAGAGAAGTGCTTTCCCAGCTGCTGCAGTACCTCTCTGCGCCACCAGATGTCAGTAACAGAATGGCTGCAAACCACAAGGTGAGACTGCGGGGCCTCATGAACTCACTGACCGGCCCTACCGATGCCAGCGTGAGCGGATAAACAAATGAAGGCACAGATGGAGTGGAAGAGGACAGGAGGATAAAGAGAAGACAAGCTGAGCAGAAAACCACACAGAATGAAGCACAGATGAGCACGGAGAGCAGAGCAGCACCTCCACGGCGACGCTGAAGTCCACCATGGACACGCTGGTGTTGCGATGCCAGCAGACGTGAACGGTGGTGTTGCCACGGTGACTCTGACGCTCGAGGGACGAGCGCGAGCCGCAGAGCTCCTCTTCCGACTCCAGCTCAGTTCCAGCGTCCTCCAAAGGCTCTGAAGGACAAAGACATGCCGTCTGGACGGGTGTTGGAACCAGTTTGACTGCTGGTCCTGGGAGCATCTTACTGGTGTCGGGTGGACTGGTGGACAGCAGCTCGGCGTTTGGACTGCTGCTCTGTTCTGCCAGGTCGATGGCCATCCTGATGTCCTCCACCCAGCGCTCCATCTCTGCAGCACAACTGCAGGAACAAACAAATATGGCTTCTTTAATTTTTCCTCCAATGCACTGCTTGGATTTTCATAGTTCAGATTGTCCGCCATTTTGGACTGTAAAAACAAATATTTTACCAAGTATTTCTGGTCGAGTTTATGGTGCAAATATATTTCTACACTTGAAATAAGACAACACTAACTTACAACTAAGTTTTCTACAAATATTAGGAGCTTGTTTAAAGTAAATAATTACTTAATATTGATTTTAAGAAGTCCTAGTTCCATTGGAAGATTATTTAAATTATAAAAGGGTAAAAATGTCTCATTTCAACAACTGAATGACTGAAATAAAAGATTTTTTTTTCAAAAAATAAAACAAGATATGGTACATAAAAAAGAAAATGTTTATTTTTAAGCCACTAGAGGAATAAAAACAGCTGAAGTGTCATTTTCCTCACCTGGCTGCCACCACTACAGACTGCCGCTGTCCAAAGAGCGTAAACGAATGAGGGACCCCCCACTCCTCCTCACTTTCTCTAATCTGACAAACAGAAGCAGAAATGCATTAAAAACACACATAACAGATTATAATCTGATCAATAATTGTTCTTTTGATCCTATTATTGATGACACACCGTCATGCCGTACAGCGGCAGTTGGCCATGGACCTTAAACTGGTTGGACGGAGTTGTTCCTCGACTGGTGTACATCAAACAATCACTGAACTGGAGGAAACAGGAAGCGTTTATAAAATCAGAAGGACAACATTTCTGTACGCCATCGTGTAAAATACAAGATTCATCTGATATTTAATTACATTTCAAACACATTTAATGCAAAAATTGACTTTGAATGTATAAAAGAGGCATCTACAGAGACCAGGCAGAAAGAAAGGAAGAAAACAAGGGAGGGAGGAAGGAGACAAAAAGAAGAAAACTGGATAGGAATTAAAGAAACAAGAGGATGAAAGGAATGAAAAAGAAAACAAGAATAAAAAAGGAAGGAGGAAACAAAGATGGAAATGAGGAAAAACAAAAAAAATGAAAAGAATAAAACAAAGGAAACACCACAAACAGATGTTGAAACGTAGAAAAGATAATGGATAAAAATAAAGTAAATTATGCAGGAAAAAGATGAGGGAGGAATGAAGAAACTGGGGGGAGAAAGAAAGGAAGGAAGAAGAGAAGAAGAGTGACTCGGTTTTGGGACTGAGGTGTGTAAATATTCCTGTGTTTAGTTTTCTGGAGCAGCCGTGTAAAGTGAGTGGAGCAGTGACTGGTACCAGGAAGAACATCCTCTGCTGCAGACCTTTCCCTGACAGCTTGCTGAGGCAGCCCAGCCTGATGAACTCCTGCAGGCCACAAACACAAACACGACCCGTCAGCTGGAGTCCAGCAGACCTGAGGAAGCGACAGCGTGGAGGGAGACGCACCCTGCCAGGCGTGACGAGGTTCTCCACGCCGGTCAGATCCTTCCTCAGCTCCAGCAGCTTCTGGAAGTTCTCCATCTTCATCATGATGCCCTGAAGCTGCTGCGCCGTCTCCGAGATCTCTGCCAGGGCGGCTGGAGGAACGGGGCAGCCGGGTTTTAGAGAGGCGACGGCGGGGAAAAGACAGGCGGAGATGAAACGAGGTGAGGCCACTCACCTCTGCTGTCCCTGAAGTCGTCGTGGGTGGGAGGGTAGTGCTTGCAGAGCCTCTCCAGGATCAGCTTGTAGTGCAGCAGGCGGTGCAGCGGCCGCAGCAGGAAGATGTAAAGCGGCAGGTAGCAAACCCTCTGCTGCTCAAAGTCCCTGCACACGGCCTCCACCTTGCGACTCGACCTGGACACGGACTCAAACTTAACGCTTGATAAGCCCTGAACTAATAATAATAACTTATCACCAACTTATTAGAAGCAACAGAAATCAAAATGGAAGAACAATCGATCCAATTTAAAAATGAATTACTGGTGCATGACCAGTAATTCCAACTTCCCATTTGAAGAAAATCAACTGGAAGCTAGTTTGCCTCAACAAATGAAGATGTGTGCAGGTGACTCAAACTTTAAACTGACAGAAAAGTCTCACAAAAAAATAAAATGTAGAATATATGAGATAGTCCTGAGATTATTTATTTTTGTAAATAAACTGAAATTTAATTCCGCTGCCGTACCTACAAGCTCGCTCCAGCTCCACCAGGCACTCCGAATGCTTCTGCAGATGAACCGTCAGCTGCTGCAGGAACAAAAGAAAGCGATTAGATCTGCAATTGCAACAATCTGAGAGGAAATCCAGACGAACTCTCACCCTCAATCCCTGAATGTTCTTCAGTAAAACGTCTCCAATTCGTTGGTAATCTCCTTTGATGTGAGCGTTGGACCGACCCTCCCTGTTGGAGCATTTATTATTGATTCATGTGCAATAGCATGTAATCTCCACTAGAGGGCAGGATGACATAAATTATACACACACAGAAGTGGAAAACTTCACCTCACAGACTTCCAGACACAAGAAAGCAAAAATTTAAGGAAATGAGGACTTCCTACGAGGTTCAATACCAAAATAGAGTTTATATCCCTCAGTAGAAGAAGAGAGCTCACCACTGAGCCAGCCGCTGCTCCGTCTCTTTGAGGAATCCCTGGTGAAACCTGTAGACGGGATCGTAGTGGGAAGAAATGAGGTTCTTAACGCCGTCTGGAAAGGCTTCATCTTTCCCTGCAGCTTTCTGGAAGAACTGGGAACAGAAGAAGACACAGAGAGGAAATGAGATAAATTAGCATGAAATGGTAAAATATGAAGAGGAGACTTTTGACACATTGACATTAAAAATTTCAGAATTTTCCAGACTCCCATAATTCTCAGTATTTAAAAACACTAACAAAGGAAGGAGGACACAAGAAACACAAGGAGGGAGGAGATGAGGAAAGAGCTAAGGAATAAAAACAGCAAGCTAGGAAGGAAAGAAAGAAGGAAGGAAGAAAGGGACGAAGGGAGGAGCTCGACAAAGAGGTCAAGAGGTCATCCAGTTCGCCTTCCTTCCACTTCCGACAGAAAACTGAAGTCAAACTGGAAATATAGAAGAAAAAATGTGAGCAGAGAGATTTTCTCCCCAGGAAAGGTCAGAGGTCATGATGGACTTAAGAGCAGGTGCCTGAACCTGAAGCTATTTCAGTTAAAAACACAAGAGTTCAACCACACAACGCAACGCTGCGCTGCCCTCTAATTGGGAGATTTATGATGCAGACATTTTATTTTTTTGTGCAGAAACAGACAGGAGGAAAAGAAAATAGAGAAAGCAAGAGAGAGAGATAGAACGATCTGAAAGGAAAGTTTAAAACTTGCAGAAAAACCAAAGTGCTGCTGCAAAGACGGGTTAAAGGTAAAAGGTCAGAAAACAGAAACTCGCCAGTCAAGATTTATATTAAAAAAACTAGATTTAAAAAGAAAGGAAAGAAAGGGAAAAAAAGAGAAGAAGAAAGATAGAGAGACTAAAAAGACAAAGAAAATTAAAAAGATAAAAAAGAGGGAGAAGTAACAGGAGAGAAACAAATTCTTAGAGGGAAAGAAGAAAAAAGAAAAGAAGATAGAGATGAAGAAAAGAAAAAATAAAAAGGCAGAAAAGAACAAAAGAAACAAAGAAAGCAAACAAAAAAGAGAAAGAACAGAAAAAAGAGGCAGCAAAAGAAAGAAAAAAAGAAAGAACAAGAAGAGATACAAAGAAAGAAAATATGGCAGATGGAAGGAAGAGAAAATGATGACAAGAACGGGGAGAAAAATATTGGAAGAAAGGAAAGAAATGATGAAAAGAGAGCATGCAGTTATATCTAACAACATTCCACTCCTCTTTCTTTTCCTTTTCCACTTTAACAGATGTGAAAAATCCTCCAATCAGATTCCAGATTTATCAGAGTGAGTCAGAAATATTTGGCTGAACCGTTTCTGAGGAATTTGTCCATCAGAGCAGAAAAAGAGACGACGACATGTTGGCTAAAACCAGGAAGCAGTTCTCACCTCGGTGATCACCTGCAGGTCCTTGAGGAAGGTCCGCTCTGTGGTCAGCAGCTCTTTGGCCATGAAGTACGCTTTGTCTGTGGGAAACTTCTGGACACAAGCACACACAGCACATCTAGCACATCTACATCTATGCAGATACTCTGGTACATACATCATCACTCTACATAGATCGCATCTACATAGATTTTTACAGTAGGAAGAAAATTGTGAATCTTTTTAAAAATGTTCTGCAAGTAAAAAACTAAAATTATTTGTATTTTCTTCCCATGACTATGAAAACCTTTAAATTTAAAATAAAAACATTCAGCATGGTGGTGGCAGCACCATGCTGTGGGGAAAACATCTTCATAGATTGGAAGTGGCAGTATCATGCTGTGAGGTGAGTGTTTATTTATTTCATTCTTAATCTCTGCTTTTGTTTTCCTATTATAGCCAAATTATAAAACAACGGAGTATATTTGCAGGTATTTTGCTAAGTTTCACATTTTTTTGATTCATCCAATTAAATTCTTTGTTTTTCCACTTCTAAGCACACCTTCCTCCTCGCCTCCTCTTCGTCATCATGGCGGACGTATCCGGCCTCAATGAGCAGTGGGCTGGTGAGCGGCGACAGCGGCTGACCGCCTGGAATCTGACACAAATCCGCCATGCCGGTGACACCCCTCTCCTGACCCTCCCCTGGGCCGCCACCGTTCGGAACCAGCCGGGGACTTTCCTGTGGAGATTCTTTGGATTCGGAGCCGTCTGAACGTTGGGAATGGAAAACACAGACAGGGAGGAGGAGAAAGAATGGGCAACAAGACAAACGGTTAATCAAATTGTGTGAAAATTTAATTAAAGTTCAGTTTTATTTGGAATTTGGTGAACTGGGTTGTGAAACTTTTAGTTTTCTAGTTGAAAGCATTATTTTTTAAAATGATTTTCTAATTGAAAACATTTCTTTAATGTGGTTTCCTTCACATTTTAAATTCAATTTCCCAGAGTTTTCTGTACTTCACATTAATTTAAAAATATTAACTTTTAACATTGCTATTAAGTTATTACAAATAAATGAAAGGGAGGAAGGGAAGAAAGAAAAAATTGAAAAGTTAAGGATGTAGGAAACTTAGGTTGAAGGTAGGAGACAAGGACAACTTAGGAAAGGAACTAAGGATTCAAAAAAATTATAAAAAAGGACACAAGAAGAAGAAATATGGAATAAAGAAAGGGAAGAGATTTGGGGTAGAAGCCAAAGATAGGAAGGAAGGAAACAAGGGAGAATAAAAAGCAAATAAAACAAAAAAGTCTGGAAATCCAAATATATTTCTGCACTTTTTTTCTTTTTCCACAATTATCCAAACTGGATTAATCTCAACTTCCAAGAGAAACATACTGATGTTTTAGTCATGCAATGTATAGGAAATGTAAGTAGGTCAGGGCATAGCGAGGTTCTGAAACCGCAAATTGAGTCTTATTGGGGAATCAGAAATATGCATGTCGCAATTAAATACGTAAATTGCACAAACATCTCCCATTAAACCGTAGATACCAGCTACAAATACTTGTACTATTACTACTACTAATACTACTACTAAACTACATGATTCTAAATTCGACTGTATACTTGCCCAGTTCTGTAAAGTTTCCACTGCTATACATCAAACTGCATCATGGGTAAAACCATCGCAACCAGTGAGTGCAGATCTATGCAGCGGTGCTATGAGAAAAAAACTCCAAGGACAAACAACTCTAGACACAACACACACATGCTAACAGGAAGACTACATCTACCACAATGCAACACAGGGGAGGGGTCACAGTTCAAACAGAACTCTGGAGTCCCTTTTTATGTTAAACAATGTTTTTTTTATTAACACTAGTGCACCACAAACAGATTAAAAAGTGAGACAAATGAAAGAAAGAAAGGAGGAAAAGTCATAGAAGCAACAAATAAAACATCCAGCAAGAGTTTGGCGATAGATGTGAAAGAACAGCGTTGCAAAAGTGATAGAAAACGAGTGAAGCTGTACATATTTATCAGAAAATTATCATTATTCAGATTTAGGCAGCTTTTTTTTTTTCAGATTTTTGGTGATTTAGTCAGCTTTAAATTTAGAAAGTTAACATGCAAACAGGAGAAGTCGCTAATGTTTTAGTTAGCAGCGAAATAGCTGCTAACTAATGTATTTTCAAAAGTAAGCAGCTAACAACAGAAAAACATGCAGATTTAATCCTAATACTCCATATTTCACATTCATTTCATATTAGTTCAATATACTGAGAATAACTGGTATATTTTCTAGGCGATACCATTAGCATAGCTTTGTTAGCCAGTTAGCTAAGCTTACAAAGGGACTGGATTGAGGATTTTAAAAAAGGTTTCAATAACGCTGCAATTTTACATAAAAGTTCTTATAATGATGATAAAAAACTTAAATTTAATTGTTTTCAAATATTTCAACGGACATTCAACAAATATTGCTACTCTAAGCTAAATGCTATAGAAAGAAGTAACCAGTGTAAGGTTAAGTTAAAAAATGTAAATAATTTGCAAAATAACCAAAATATTTCCGCAGCCGTTAAAGAAAAACACTGTATTGTTTGTTATTTAACTTTAATTCTTTGTAAACTGATACTTTGATATTCATGATCTCTTTTAAGCTAAGCTAAATAAGTTAAGCTAAGCTAACTGGCTGTTAGCATTAGCTGGTATCCCATATTTAATGCTGCTTTTTACTTCCTAAAATATCAATCTATTCCCTTTATTCAACAAATATCAGGACAACTATGTAATAAGAAGAAGAATAAAAAATAATTTTAGTATTAAAGTGGTAAAACTAGCAAATTTGGTTTGGATTAAGTCCATAAACATACAAATTACAGCATGAATACAAAATCATAGAAGCCTATCACAATGTAAGGACATTTAAAAGGCCTTTTAGGTAGTTACAAAATCCAGAGCCAGTGGAATTGATACTTTTTCTAAATTTATCAAATTTAGATGAGGCAAAAGCTCATTTAATAAGAAAAATGACAGCAGAAAAAGATATCCCATAGCTCCAAGATTTCTTTCAACCTAAAACAACCTAATGTGCCATGACAATTACTGTACATTCAGTTTTATTAAAATGACAAAGAAGAAGCATCAGTGAAATTGAGTGGTAGCAAATGCAAATATGAAACAGGCAAAGTGTGAGGACGGCACAGTGTGGGACTCGGCTCCAGTTTCCCTGTGTTTATACAAGTTTTCAAGCTCTGACAACTCGCAGACTTCTACATCTGACAACATAAACGCCTCATTCCTCAAATATATCTTCTGTACACTTGCATAATTGCATTATTATGAACTTCACTGGTCTGTCTGTCTTCACCCTCCCATTCTGTTTACAAGAAAACTGGAGCAAAGTCGCACAAATCCATGACACAACGGATTTCTAAATGTTTGAAATAAACGAGGTGCAGGTGATTTACTCAGGAGGGAAAAGCGATTGAAAGGCACAACTCCAAAAATTAAGAAAAGAAACATAAAGAGCATGTGCTTGGTTATATGTTTGACTGCATCACCTGCATCTCAAACATTTTGAACCATTGTGAACCCCTCAACACACACACAAAGTGAGCAAAAAGCAGTAAAGTGGCAATTTCCCAGCCTGGTTAACATGCCTTCATAGAAACAGAAAGAAACAAACAGTGCATTTCAAAGCAGAAAGTTTTTTTTTTTTTCAGAAGAAAGCAGGAAAAAACGTCAAACATCTTCCACATTTAACCCAATCAGATTTGAAGCAGTACATTCGTGAACAGTAACCTCAAATTGGTGTGAAATACTGGCTTGAGCTGAATTTACTTGTTCCAGTGAGAGCAAAAATAAAAGTGGAGAACAGGCAGCCAAACGGGCAACAAATGACAGATGGAGATGAGGAGCCTCCCATAAACTGCAGTTTAAGAAGTGAGGAAAGAGCAGCTGAACTGAGTGAAAGGTAACATTCAGATTTAATTGCTGAGTGGAGTTCATGCCAGGGGCCGAGCCAAGCACAAGCAGACAGCTATGGGTGGCGCTTTTGAGTTACAGCGAGGAAAACAAAGATGTGAAAGAAAAACAGAAAATGCATCACAAAATCTGACTGTTTCCATTCAAAGCTAATCAATCTCAGTCGAGGATACATCTAAAATAAGTTCTCTAAAGTCTTTACACCAGTGCTACTATAAAGTTAAAAAACATGAAAAATACTCCTCTCCTTTAATGCAACATGCATCCAGCACAAATTTACTGGAAACAATCTGCTAGAGGAAAATATGTGTGCAAATCCTTATACTAATTGTTTTATGAAACTTTTAGGATGTCAAAAAGTATTAGTTTATGAATGTGCACACTTTTGCAACCTCGTTATTGCAGCTTTTGTGTTTTTTTATTGACTTTTCTCTAATAAAATCTAATAAATGCTGCATAATAGGTAGAAAAACACATTTAACAGATCTCCTGAGCAAACGTCCATATCAGAGTTAAAGTAATCTGAAATAATTAACCAAAAGTGCTCAAAAGGACCTTCTGCCACTTCAAACACTAAAATACAACCCATTTTCTGGGAAAACATATACAATTAAACAGGGCTATAATTAAGATCAACCATTTCTTTAAATAAACTGAGCTGCTCACAACTTTCCCTCTCTAGCGCCACAATAAAAACCTCTAAGGAAAACTACTATTGCACAATACAAAGTCAAACTCTAAGGTTTTATTTCACGCCACAAACATGGACATAGAAAGAGATTCATGTCAAACGTCAGAGAGAAATAAACGCCTCTAAATAAATCAGTTTCTCCTCAATAAATCAAGAAATCGCTCTAATTTATCAGCTACTTATCAACAAACCTAACATTCCTGCTACACAGAAGAGACTGATATAAATATAACTAAGCTAAAAGAAACAGCTGGAAGACTTGCAGAAATAATCTTCACTAGAAGCTCCAAATGTGAGCTTTAAGATTTCCTTCTAAATACAAAGTTTTTCAGTTATGGCACATTGTACAGGAGGAATTTCCCCTTAAAAAAGGTTATTCACGCGAAAATGTTAACTATTTACAAGATAAACCAGCATTAACAGCTGGTTTAGTCAAAAAATAAAACAAATGGCCGTAGAAAACTGCAGATTTCTGTTAAAAATCTTCAATTTTACAATTCAAAAAATGCAGTTGAACTTGAACAAAATCTGTTATAAAACTTTTTATAAAGAGTTGTGAAAAGTTTACTAAAACGTTTTTTCTCTACTTTCAGAGTTGTGTGAAAAAATTAGGACACCTCATGAAAATGTGTGTTTTCTAAAATACTCTAACAAATTATGTCAAATTTAATTGAACTCCTGATTACAAATTTATAATTTCTACTGGGGAATAAATTAATAAAGTGGATAAAAAATATCTCAGACATATAGTATTATCACTTATGGAGAAAAATTTCTCATCTGATTTATTTTTTATGATAAATTTCAGTTCATTAAAAAAAACCCTGAAATGTTAGTTTAACCATTTTCATAAATAAGAAAATTGGAAGATATGATTCAATGAAATCTTTTTGTGCAATTTAGTGATATAAAAAACACATTTGAAGAAACGTATGTCAAATAGGAAAGTTTTTCAATAGAAGAATTTACCTAAAAAAAGAATAGTTGTTTTTTATTAACACAATAAGAGCACAAAAGGTAGATTATTAATTTTACATTTTTGTTTCTATCATTAGTGATTGAAACCTGATTATTTAAATCTCTTCAGTTTCCAGAGAACACAAGATTTAATGAGGCGTCCCAGATTCTCCACATGACGACATCCAGATATTTAAAAGGGAAATAAGTCAAACAGTAGATTAAATCAAAGTCTGGTTGTATTTTCCTGCTCAGCAGCTAAAAACCTGACCAGCCACGTCTTCCTCACTGAACCGGAACCGCTGCTCTCGCTCCTCGTCGGCCCGCAGACTCCCAAACTTTAACTTCCCGTCGGGGGAGTTAACCGCCGCGGGGTTACCGTACAGCAGCGGCTGGCTGTACGCGCTGCTGCCGGTGTCGGACTCTGTGTCGCTGGTGTCGGTGCCGCTGCTGGTGGACCCGTCAATCATTTGGACCGGCTGACTCAGCGTGTTGTTGTTGTTGTTTGGTTTTTGGCCAAACAGCCGCTGTGCCGGCGCGTTCGATCGCGCTTGACCTGGAACCGCGAGATTACCGTTAGCCATTGTGGCTTTTCGCTCTGTCGGAGCGGAGCACGGGGTTTCCACTCGGCGCATCGGGGTGGAAGTAAGCTGGCTGAGGATGAACGGGTCGGTGTCGGAACGGTTCCGCATGACGTTGAGGTTATACGGTTTGGACGGATGTGTTGGCGTGCGGTTCGAGAGGATCGGGGAGTAGCTGCCGTAGTGGGACGACGGCGAGACGGCAGGAGCCTCAACGGGGACGCCGCCGGGCCGTTTGCTAAAATAATGACCGCCGTCATCCCACCGCGACCCGGCGCGCGGCTGACCGTGCCCGTTTGTCATTTCGGCTGAGGGAATTGGTCCGCGGGTGGAAGCTGCTGATGACCGGGCTGGAGCACTGGCTGCGAGTCCCGGTCCCCAGTGGGCGAGCAACGCCGCGCTTGTCTCGGCCCTGGAAGATCTCGTCCAGCAGCGTGCTGTGGAGCGGCAGGCGGCTGTGGAAGGAGCCGCCATTGGACAGGACCTCCTCTGCATTTCTGTTACCCATCACCGCCTGCTGCATCAGCCCCTGGTGGTTGGTGTGGTAGAACCCATTCACCGCCCCGAACAGACCCCCATCTCTGCCCTCATCCTCATTGCTCTCGTTTGCGCTGCTGTGGCCCCTGGGGGCCCTGCCGCTCTTCCCCACCTCGCATTCGCTGTCTATGTCGCTGCAGTCTATGTCGCTGCAGTCTATGTAAGGAATAGAGGAGCTGCTGCCTTTGTTTGCCCTGCAGGTTGGACCTGGGTTCAGGAGGTGCTGGGCCGCTCCGTTGTGGTTCTGTCGGCTCGGGTCCGAGTTGAGGGCGCTGTTGGTCGGAGGCTCCTCGGTGCCGTTGGTTTTGGCCGAGTCTGGCTGGTCTGCTAACAGGACAGATGTGGCACTCTGCAAAATATACCAAGAAAAATGACAATATTGTTGTTTTGAGTTCATTTTCAGCATAAAATATCGCAAATTCACCTCTCAAAGAACATTTTACACTGGAACTAGAAGACAAGATAAATCAAATGTCTCTGATGACAAACTTAATCTTAAAGATATATTAATTATCAGGTTCAAACAGGACAAACAGGCAATACTGCCAGTTAGGACTTTTAAAAAAATAAAAGTGTTAGCTAATGCTGCATTCTGGGAAATTCCAACTTCCCAGTCTAGAAAATCAACACTCTAATTTCAGACTTAATGAATTTGCTCTCTCACCTTCTTGAAATTAAATAAAATTGGTTCAAATGCAAAATTTTTGTTTCTGCTGCCATTTTTTTACATTCATAGGTCATTAAAGGTCAACCAGTTCCCCCCACACCAACAAAGCCAAACAAATTTGGTATCAACCGTTGCAGATTTTGTTAATGTGGAGCTCATTTTAATTCATCATGTGATTAATTTATTAAATATGGCATTGGTAAGGCAGGAAGGTGTTTTACCTCTTTTGGCACTTGGGATCTGAAGGAAGACGAGTGCGGCGACATGCTGCTGCTGGACAGAACCTTGCTGTGTTTCCTGAAAACCGGAGGCGACACCAGGTCAAAGCATGCGCCGCTAATCAGCTAACCCACCAGGCAAATCTGATTACAACCACACAAGGGTCTGTCTGAGAAACTGGAGCAGAACCAGGACGCTTCTTCACCTCTCAAAAGGGACTTTCTTCAGCTCAGAGTCTTTCAGGTGGTCGATGATCTGCTTCTGCGTTCTCCCGCTGGAAGAAAAGTGAATCTAAATGTAAGTTTAAGCAAAAGAGACAGAAGACGAAGCAGTTTCTGATTCTTGGCTCACCTGAACCGGAATGAGGAACCCCTGGTGAAGAGGATGGGCTTGGGTTTAGGTTTGGGCTCCTCGAAGAGTCTGAAGAAGGCGTGGTATTCGACACAGATCTTCCAGAACACCTTGCAGCAGTCCCTGCTGGCCATGGCGAACTCCAGTGTGTCGTGGTGGGAGTTCTGCTGGACGACACCAAGAGTTGTTCAAAGCATGTGGAAAACAAACGCACCCTTATTCTCAGGTTTCTTTTTGCAAAAACTAATCAAACTGAACATTTTCCTTAAATGAAGAGGTGGAAAATATATTGAAGAGTAACACTACTTCAACATATTTTTACCCGTGTGGAAGTAAAGTGACCATCTATCTTAATAAAACTATTTTGTGATTTTAAGTGGAGAAAACAGTTGAAAAGTTTTATCTTTTCAAGATTTCAACAACAAAATCTCAGATCTTAGATGGACTTACAGAGGGGTCGGCTCTCAGTTTGATGAGGAACCTTTTACGCTTGAAGCTCAGCTTGCGAATCTTGGACCAGTTGAAAGCGTTGATTTTTGTGTAACCCTGAACGAGAAACAAAAACCAACTGAATGCAGCTAGTTCTACTGCAAAAAGAAGAAACTATTATTCACATTTTTAGAAAACAACATAATAAGAAATATTTTGGACAAGCAAGCAAGAAAATATTTAAGGAATTAATGTTCCTAAACTTTCTGCAGACTTTAAGGTCATTTTTGTTTAGTTTAAAATTTAAAACACAACTTTCTCATAAATTTCTAGATTCTGTTGTAAAATGAGCAGGTTTTATTAATGTAAGACAAGAAGATGCGAGAAAGGACAAGGGTGGGAAGAAGGAAGCAAGGAAGAAATGAAGGGGATAAAGAGGAAGGATTGCAGGAGGGAAGAAGGAAGAATATAAGATTTGACACAAGACAGGAAGGATACAAAGGAGAAGGTAGGAGATAAAAAGATAAGGGCAACACAAAAAAAGGGAGGAGAAAAAGGACACCATGGAGAACACAAGGAAGGACAGATCATTAGTCTGCAGTCCTACAGCTTTCAGCTGCGTCTCTGCTTCTGTGAACCAGAACCACACATTTGGGTGTCTAGCAGGATTCTGTAGAACTTCCCTTACAAACTGAGCTGCTGCCTTCTGGTGTGTTTGGACCAGAGCTTGGTGGAAGATCCTACCTGGAAAACCAAAACACCGGTGTGCGCCACCGTCAGGCTGAGCTTCGTTCCCTCTCTGTCCTTGGCAGGGTACAGCCGGACGCCGTACATCTCCAGCCGCCGAGCAATTTCCAGCAGCTGGTAGTCCGACTCCGCTGGAGTCTGCCCACTGTGGAAGAAAAACCTCATTCAGTTGCAATGAAGTCCAGTAGCTGTAGCTTTAAATCCAAACAGAAACCCACTGCACAAGTCCTAAAACAACAACAGGATCAGACGGAGGCACCAGCTGCAGGCCGGAAAGAAACCTGCCGCAAAAAAGAGCTTTGTTTCCTCGCAAAATCTGAAAATCGCTTCCTGTTTCCTGTATGAGCGCCTGAATTAGCCACTTCCTTCCTGTGTCGGCAAAGAAGGAGCTGAGGGATTGGAGCGAGGGAAAGCCAGTGGTTTGTTTCTCTGTCTTTATCTGTGCTGGGGGAGGGGAAGTGCGCCTTGTTTGTAAATGTTCAGATTGCGTGTTTGCCAGCAGTGGAGGTCTGAAGGGACTCACACATGTTGGCGGTGGCAGTCGATGATCTTGTCTCTGATGGCGTCCTGGTCTGGAAGATACTTGTTGTGCAGCAGGTGCTGCCAGCTCTGCGTCTCGTCAAAGTCCCCGATCTCAGCTAGTGGGATGGAGGGAGGGAAAAACTGATTATTTGGACGAGAAAGGAGAAAAAACTGGCAGAAAAAATACGAGTAAAATCAAATGGTTTGAAAAGTATCAGGAAAACTGATAAAAGAAGTAAATTCGTACAAATATAAAAGTACATCTTGTCTGTTTTCAATTGGATGGATGGACAGATGGACGTTTTGACGAATGGCTGGACGGCTGGTCCAGCCACCCTACATGAAAAATTCAAGTAAAAACACAGGTTCCTAAACATCTTTTTGAATTTTTAGAATTTTAGAGCAAAAAGAGAATTTAGCAAATTATTGAGATATTTCTAACAGAGAGCAACTGATTTTGTCTGCATGATATAAATAAAAAATTACTTTATTTTCTATATTGTGTTAAAATGGCGACTGGATAAGGAAGTGAAACCCATGTTTTACTCACACTGAATGATGTGGGAAACCATGAGGGCGGCGCTGGTGTCGTTGCAGATCAGATGACCGCAGGCGAGGTCGCGTTTGATCTGCAGGGCAAACAGATACCTGGAGAACAGCAGGACAAAAACACCATCCTGACATCAGAAAATGATCAGATGGTCAGATTAGATCAGCCCGCAGGAACATGTCATGATGCAGTAACAAAACAGTCTTAAACCAGAGCTGATTCAATACAAGAACTGCTCATAAAACTCACATTTCAGTCCAAATCTGCACATTTGTTGATGTTTAGTAAATATGACAAAGCAAAAAAGTATCTCTGAATATGTTAGACTATTTCAGCAATATTTCAGCAATGATAATCTGGGTTTATGTTAAAATTTTTGTCACATTACAAACTAAAACATCAGTTTTAGGAAGGAAGAAAAGAAGGAAAGAAGGAAGGAAGTAAATAAAAGAAGTATGGAGGACATACTAAAAGGAAGGACATAGAAAAGGAAAGAAGGAGAACATGTTGAAAGGAAGGAAAGAAGTCAAGGCAATGTGGAAAAGAAGGACAATTGGCAGAACAGAGGGATGAAAAATAAGGAAGGATAAAAACAGTAAGGCAAGGAAAGATGGAGGACATGAGAAAGGAAAGAAAGAAGGGCAAAGGTTGTGAAGAAAGAAAAACAAAAACTGAAGAGAGGACAGAGGGGAAAGAAAGATAGAAAAAAATGATAAAACAAGTGATGGAAGAGAGAAAGGTCTTAAGGAGAGTAGGACACAAGGTGGAAAAAAAGAAAAGAAGGAAGAAAAAAGGAATGAAAGAAAGAAGGACAGAGGACACAAGACAGGAAGGAAAGGCAAAAGGATGAAAGACAGTAGGAAAAAAGCAAAAACAGAAGAAACATGAGAATGGAATAAATGAAGGACACAAAAAAATGTAATACTAAAAGAAACAAAGAACCGGGAATAAAGTCAGGAAATAATAATACATTTCTAAAAGCGTATTTATTTTTTCACATTTTTCCAGATGTTTCTACCAATCTGACCAAACACAGGAAAAGCAAACAGCTGCTAGCTCACTTCCTGTTCCCTGTGAGTAAACTGGCAAAGAGAAAAGACCAGGAGCAGAAAAACTAAAACCTACAACTGGTTGGTTAAGAAAGAAATTCCCAAAGTGACAGAAATATTCTGGGAGCTGCTGCATCATGGGAAAATGCAGGAGGTCAGAGGTTGGTGGCGAGAGCTTGGACAAACATCTGGGCCGGCTTGGACCGGATTGTCAGACTAAAAGCAGAACAGGAGTTTCTTTTTAGCTGCTATGAGGCAAAAAAAGTTTTTACAAGGAGTCTGTTTCCCAGATCCCACAGTTAGCCTTAAAGTCTCATCTTAAAATATCAGAATATTTGACAAGGCATCATTAGAAACATCCAGAAAACGCTGCATGGAAGGCTAAAAACATGGTTAGAGGAGTATAGGTGTGGTTTCTGTGAAAAACATACCGAGTCAGCTCCTCCATGAGCTGCGTGTGGTCAGGAGGGAAGAACTTCACCACAAAGCGAAGGATGGTGTTTTTAGGTCCTGGAGGAGAGAAATTATGGGCTAGAGAGCAAGTGACGACGTGGGAAGACAGATCAACAGAAACAGAAACGACAGATTCTTACGTCTGATCTGCTTCAGCGCCGGCTTCAGGAGGTCCAGCCACACCTGAGAGCAGAAAACACTCCATTACATCATGTAGCGCTGCTACGCTGGCCATGAGCAGGCTAACAGCTGTTAGCATCACAGCACAACATTGCTAAACATTGTGTTCACTCATTACTGCTGCAGCTCTTTCACCAACTGGTTCTACTGTAGACAAATCAACAGCTTACTGGGTCTGTTTTCACCGAGGGTCGGATCTGCAGCCGTCATATTGGATTGTTGAGAAATATCTGATCTTCTTAACAACTTGAGTTTGGAAAATTCACATTTTTCAAAATCTGAAGACTAATATTGTTGTTAGAAATTATGCTGTCCAACTGGACCACAAGAAAAGAAAAAAAGGACAGAAAGAGATAAGAAAATATGGATGGGAGAACATACTGAATTATTGCAGGAAAAGAAGAAAGAAAGAATCAAAGAAATGAAATATAGTATAGACTTAAGGAAGGAAGGAAAGAAGTGGGAAACGGATGGAAGGAAAGAAGGGAGATTAAAAAAAGGGAGAAAAAAGAAGCAGGGAAGGAAGTGAGAACAAATCAAAGGAAGGAAGAAGCAAAGAAAGGAAGAAAGAAAGAAATGAAAGGACAACTAATGGAATAAAGGAGGGAAGAGAGCAGAAAGGAAAGCCGATGGACACAATGAAGGAGAAAAGGAAATGAGGGAAGGAGACCAAATAAAAGGAAGAAAAACATAAATGTAAGAACATGAGGATAAAGAGAAAAAATAAAGACGGAAAAATGAAAAATTAAGGACAAAGAAGGACAAAGAACTCCATTCTCCAATTTGACCATTAGATGGCACTCATTTCTAAACGCTGGTCCTTTAAAAAATACTGCCTGCATTATAAAATGAAACCATCAAGTTAAAATTCATCAATCTGTTCTACAAATCGAGTCGGTGCCACAAACTCTGACATGTTAAATCACAACTTTTGAGGTCAACAGGTAAATTCAGAGTCAGACCTGATCTGATTAAAACTTTGCTTCATATTACGGAAATTAAATTGTAATAATTAGCATCAAATTATTATGATTAGCTCGATTCAGGAGTTAGCCTGAATTAGCCTGGCTGAAAGAGTTAAATGCAAAAGCACAAACTTTGGAGCTGAACACATCATTACTCTTGAAAATGGAGGTCATTAAAGAGGTTTATTATATCGAAATAGAGTCTGGGAGCTAAAAATGATACTAATAGCTTTACAAATATAGTAAACACATTGTAGAGTGGAGGTTAAGATTCGTATTGTTATTTGACTTCATGTTATTCGATCCTCAAAGAACAGTTCAGCTTTCATCAGAGCCAGATAGCTTCTTCTTTTCACAACATGTTTGTGCTCTAATGGAGTTTCAACTGCAAACTAAACTCATACAGTCTGCAGATCATTACAAACAGCTGCTGCTAGAAACTTCAGGAACCAGACTGTAGCAGAAAGCTGGGGCTTAAATCCTCAACAATGCAAATTTATAAAAATTATCACTGAATCCTTCCAACGAAACTCATCCTACCGTCATTTTCCGGTGATCCGTGTACTCAAGCCCAAAATAGTCCCCTTCAGTCAGGTTGAGGTGGACACAGACAAGGTCAAAAAGCACTTTCCCAGGCACGCGTTGCTGCAAGAGAAGGACAGGAAAGGGGAAGCCATTTTGGATTAAACTAGGAAAAAATGGCGACAGTTTTTCCAGAAGAATCAAGAGAGCATCTTGGCAAAAAGCAGCTGACCTCTGACCCGGATGTGAAGTGCAGACTCTTCTTTTTGATCGAACAAAACCGTGGAAGCCAGTTTGTTCTTGTTTTAAGGTTGTGATGCAACTTCAGGGATACGGGAACTGCTTTTCACTGCATCCATGTGTTTCTACTAATGACTACTCTGCACTGAAATGCTACTCAGTACTACCATATTTTCTGGTATTACAAATCCCGATGGTGAAAAAATTTGTCACGAAGAGGAAAACACATGAATAAGTCGCAGGGCCAGCCAAACTATGAAAAAAAATCTAGGACTTATAATCTGGAAAATACGATATAAATGAGGCTTGGAGATTTCAGAGACTTTTCATAAATCAAATTAAAATTGCATTGAAAACATTTTCTGTCCCAGTCAGTGATATAATAACCCACAGTGAAACAAATAACATTTTATAGTATTTACAAAAGATTTAAGCCCACAATGTGCAATTTCCAATTGCTAAATGGTCATCTGTTCTAATATCTATATAAAACATTTTCACACAAAACGGGTTTGGAACAAATTGACACCAAAAGTTGAAGCCTTTTTAAAAGTGCTGGTTGAATCTAGCGCCATTATCTACAGTGAAATGGTATCAACATGGCCTGAAATGCCAAATATTAAGCACAAGGCCTTTACTGGAAAAGCAACAGAAAAATTTTGTGAAAAAAGAAGAAAGTTGAGAAGTAAGGAAGCCATAGAAAACCAGCTATGATAAACTTTTCTGGACAATAAATTGTCCCAGTAATTATCGCACCAAACAATGTTATTGTTTTTCAAGTAATATGATGATAATGCCCTACGATTGTAAAAACAATAAATAAAAATACAACCTAAACCATAAATAAAATGCATTATAATGTCTTGGTAAATGATATTTTCCTTCAAAAAGTGTATTATTAAAATACCAGAATGGAAATGATCAAGTTTTTTAAATTAATCATGCAATTAATTGATTGTTTATTGCAACAGAATTAGGTGGCAGCATCATGGTTTGCTTCAGGAGGGATTGGTGCACAATTAGTCAGTAGAAATATTATTGATTAAAAAAAACTGAAGAGTTTAATCCAATTCAATGCCAGTTAAACTGAATTAAATGTCTTTATTTAAACAGAAATAGATAATAAATGATAAAAACAAAAGGAAAAACCAACAACGCTGATAAGTATATATAGACAGGATTATTCCAAACAACTCTACTTATGTAATTGTTAATTGTGACAAGTCCGACCACAGGCACGGTGCATCAGAGCAGCCGTGAGCCAAGTCTGTCACCATCTGGCCTCCGCATGTCGACGTGAGTGTGTGTTCAGTCTGTCCGCAGGGAAACACCCACACACTCTTCATCCAGCTATTCACCAAGCACAACACACACATTTACTGGCTCGAGCTGCAGACTGATATCAAGGAAACATCAGGATTCTGTGAAACTCTCCGAGAACGTCTTTATTATTCGACTGACAGATGCTGCCGTTTGGACAGGATTTAGCTCTGGGTGGCGGTAATCTTCGCCTTAAGGCGGTTAAGACGGGACAAAAAGGGAGGAAGTAGAAAAACAGAAGAAAGAAGGGTGGCTTACATGGCAGGAAAGCAGTCAAAAATAATTCTTCACTGTTATTCTCCTTTCTACCGACATCTATAAACACATTAGTTCGGTTTACTGTATTGATTTCTCTCTGCTTCTGTCTCCTTTACTTTGAGCTGAACTATTTCCTCTTCAGACGGCCTTCATTAGCAAACCATTCTCCTCCAACAAGACGTCCAACTTCAACAACAAAAGCTCCAGGTTTTCTATCATGCAGAAACACGTTGGGCTTAGAAGAGGCGCAGGAGTCCGGCCCAAAAAGCACACAGCTCTGGTAGAAACACAAGGCCAGATTTGAATCCCACTGACAAGCATGAGAATGAAAACGCAGAATTTGGAAACATTGATGCAAAGAAAGATCTCAACACCGAGTTCTGGTTATTGTTTTCTGCTGTGAGAATATCAGGTTGAAGAGAGAAATGTGCTTGTTTGCAGATTTTTCCACAGAGCACAAATAAAATATTCCAAAGAAAATGCAGCTTGGGAAACTGAAATAGCATTGGCAGGCATTTCAATACAGCCAATCCAGAAATCCTTGATGCTGATTGGCTGACCCCCAAAAGTGGTAGCGGTAGTTCTAAGACGGTTTCCACTGGGCACAACATAGATTTGGCTTAATTGCTGTTCTGATTGTGTTGTTCTTTCAGCAAATTTCCTTTTTTGAGTCTATATACTTCAGTTAATGATCAAACAATCACTAAATTAGTTGATTATTATTGGAAAGGAGGCAGACTGGTAAATTGAGAGATTTGCCTTCTGGTTTACCAAAGCTATCAAGAACAGGGGCGTCAAACTACTTGTGTCATAATGTATCGATAAACCCAAACTAATGAACGGTTAAGAACTGTTTCTGCATTTAATAAGTTCTTGATGCTTGAGCTTGATGTTCAGGCACCCATTAGCTTTGAGTTTAAGCCATTTCCTCCACTTACAGCTAACCTTTCTTAAGTAACTAAAGACAGAAATTGAGAAATAGACCTATTACCACATTCAGTAACATTACACGCTGGAATGCATGTGGAAACATATGCCAGAAAACTCAAATCCAGTTATACCAACACAGGTTTCATGAACCTGATGGATTTTATCTCCTTTCATCTGCCAGAAAATGTCAACACATTCAGTTTTATTCCTTTGGCTGGCACCAGCTCATCTGAAGGACTGCAGCAAACCTGTTTGTCGTTAAGTTTTCTGTCCACGCAGCGAGCTGGTAGTCATAAGAAAAAACTGGATCTAATCTGAACATTGTGTGAGGGGGAAATAAAAAAAAAGACTAAAAAAAGGTGAGATCTGAAATGCTGAGAAGTTAGGAAAGCAGAATCCCAAACAGCTCTGCTGAAAACAACAGACAGTAGCTGGCAGGAACTGGATCAAACTTGGCCAACAGAGCGGTGAAAGTAAAGTTTAAACTCTTCAGATGTGGCTAGCGAGAGCCAGCATTTAGCCCACTGAATGAAAAACTAAGTTTTGGGCATATTTAGCAACACCAAATTCCAACATTTGCTGACAAAACAGATTGTTTTGTTTACCATCACGCTGCATGCTTTCATCCGTTTACCCTGCAGCTTCACATGTGGGAACTGCAAAAGAGAAGTGGGTCATGAAAAAACAAAACCCTCTCTTTCTGCTACATGAAACTCTGAAATATGTGCTTAATTTGGAAAGGTTTGACCTTTTGTTTTCTATTGAATGTGCAGTCTTTGGCCTCAAAGAACATGCAAAAAGCTAACGTGCAAAAATGACTGAATTGTAGGAATCTTGACCAAAATCTGTATATTTTATTTCATTTTGCTTGGTAGCATCTCTGTGAATCTCTTCAATGAAGAAATGAAAGTCTTCCCATTTAAATCGCTCTTAATTAGGTTTCTGTCTTTTAAGAGAATTCAGTTTGCTCCAATTGGCCTGCTAATTGCAGGCCAATTGGGAAAAAAAAGCTTCATAGTATTAAAAATGAACTTCTAATGTGGTTAGCAAATAATTAGATTCCAATAGTAAGTTGGAAAACCAACTCACGTCAGTGTGGAAGCTGGTACAGAGTAAGAAGACTCAAAATTAACTATATTCAGTATTAATGAGTAGTTTAAAAACTGAAGTTAGACAAAGCATGGAGAAATAAAAAGTTATTTAAAAAGAATCCATGTTTTCTTCAACATCTTTGTGGTTCAGTCAAGTTGTTATGGAGCAAGAGCAAGTTTTCCAGAGACTAACGGGAAGGCTAACTACATTTTTGAGCTTTTTGGAAGAGTTAAAGGATTTCATTCTCAAAATATACAGATACATTGTTTACTTCGTGATATTAACCACAATAATTGCTAATATAATATGCTACAGCTGGCTTAAATTGTAAACTGTTTTGTCTCAAAACAGGAGAATCCTTTTTCCTGACTTTTCTCTTACTTTCTGCTAAGCTTTCAATCATTTTCTATCATAAAATAAATTAGATTGGAAAACAATCAGAATTCTTTTGAAGAAATAAACATTGAGACCGCTGCATTGGAGATAGATGCTAGCCATACTAACAGCTGATGTAATGCAACGCCCCTCTGCTAATAATACAAACAAATAATGAGCTCCTAACTCTGAATGGGAAGGCAATAAAATTAAGTTTTTGTGTTGTTATTACATAATTTCATATTAAATTTGTTAAAAAGACACTGGGCAAAACTGGTATTAGAAAGGTCAAAGCTATAAAAAAGAAAAATGGAAAGTTCTGGTGACTTGACCTCTACTATTTTCAATGGAAAAAACAATTAGATATATTTATATGACAATAAATGAAGAATAAGCTCAACAGGCAACCGTTCAGCCTTTTCTCATGACCCTCTCTTGGCAACTTTATCACAAAAAGAGGGATCTCAAGAGGTTAAAACAAAGCAGAAATTAAGTGCTATAAATTTTTAGTGTGGGTTGTTTAAGGTTGATAAATATGATGGATTTTATCTGTTTGCTGAATCCGTTCAGCAGACGGAGAGCAGATTGTTCCCTGCTGAGCACAGACTGAGGTCCTTTCACTTTGAATCACAATCACTTCTTTCAGCAGCTTCTATCAATGAGGCCTTCTTACCCAGACAAAAACTCACAGGCACACACATACACTCCTAATCACATTTTTACTGTGCAAGACTCAGATAAAGTGTTTTTTACTTTTTCTTCTTCTTGGATTTGTTTGCGGTAAAATATTTCAGGTAGAGGCCAACGTGCCTGCATACACAGAAGCAGTCTGGGTAAAACAGCTGACATGTGGGGGCCGTGTCCAGCTTCCAAAGCTGAGTTTATGGGCCGAACTCTCCTCTTCTCAG